AGAGAGAGAGAGAGAGAGAGAGAGAGAGAGAGAGAGAGAGAGAGAGAAGATAGATAGAGAGAGAGAGATAGAGATAGAGATAGAGAGAAAAAGATAGAGAGAGTCTGCAAAGAGAGATTCGTGCCTTCGTGGTGGATACGTCGAGGAAAGTACCATAGCTGTCAGGGTAGCGAATGTACGACTGCCATTCTGTTTAAATCCTTACGATATAGTACAGTAGCTCGAAAAAGTATTTGTACACCAAGTTTTTCAAAGATAGCTTCCTGTAAGAAAGTCCACGATTATCGTTAACCGTACGTAACGAGTACAGTTAAATCGAAAAACGTGCAAGATTGGTGAGCTAAAACATCGAGAAGATTGATTTCCAATGAAAATTATTCATAGAAATTTCGGCGAAAGAGTTCAAATGGTACACATTGGTGGCACGTATCGTAAGCGACGGGAAGATAAACGACGGATACAGAAACTGTGTTGTATATGTGTCGAGGGAAACTCGAGACCAATGAAAATGGATGACGCAAACTTTCGATGTCTGTTTTATCGCTACCTTACATCCCAAATGTATCGTAGCGATTCTTCACCCGCCAACCCCTTCGCGTATAATGCATTGTTTACTACGACATTTAATTGGAATTTTCCAACATGCGTTACGGTATATAGTATACGTGACCGACCGCGACGCAACATTCTTACGACATAAACAATAGGTATTTGCACGGTCGAAAATAAAAGTTTACGTTGCGTATGTATCGTGTGAACAAGACAGTTTGGATTATTTGGTAAAGAAGGCGATGAGTACTCACCGTAGGATTAGGCATACAGCGTCGCGGCGGCGGCGGCATGGGGTCCGGGGCGGCACGGTAAGGTGGCGGCGAATACCTCCCCGAAGGAAAACAGCCCGGGGCAGTGATCGGTGCCCCGTGAAGTCCCTTGCTCCCCATCATCTTGTCCGGTGAGTACATCATCCTGTATCCAACTAAGTCTAAGCTTAGACTTAGACTTAAACCAGTCGAAAACTGGCAGCCTCGAATGGAGCGATACTAGCAGCGATAGCTGCGTTTCCTCTTCGCCGCAATATTCGCGGTTCGCATCTGTGTGATAAGAATTCTCAATGTCCTCGCAGCCTACGGCCTTCAAGTACTTTTGCCCTCGGTATCACTTAGATAGGATTCCGATGCACCGACGCCGATGCCGACGGTAGAAACGATGGATCACCGTAAAGGGTTGCGCACTCGCGGTCTTGGTACATCTACGCTCCTCTCTCACGAGGTATACGACTCATCTCTATCAAGCTCGAGCGGACGACCAATCAATCTGCCGGTTTAACTGCGATCGACCGAAGCGATCGTGGATCTCGCATGGTTGTACGTGATCGCGCGCACCACGGTTCGACCCGCACTGTTTTGCCCCCTGCCCTATGTCCTAACCGTCACAGTGATGGCGATCGAACATCTCGACTGGTGTTTGAGTAAATCCGGCGTTGCTTGCACTGCACAAGAGAAACGTAGAGCACGTCGTTACTCCGCTAAATACCAATAAATAACTTTGTATCGAGGAGCAGAGTTGATCGAAACAAGTCCATTGCCGAGAAAAGGAACAGCGTCACCAGCCCGAGGTAGGATGACACGGTCGGGCACGTTGGTCCGCACAACGTATCACAATCACCGATCGAACATCCGCGGCAAGTAAACAGAATTTAAATATATTATGTCGGTAGGTATAATTAGCCAGGCAGAATCATACGCGAATGTTGTCCTGATGCTCTGCACTTTTTGGCGCTGACTGGCCGCCGAAGAGTGCTCCGCGGATGAACTCTTCCACGGGGGATGGCGGGAGTAGACGAAGAAGAGGGAAACGTTGGGGCAGGGGGTGGCGGCTACCCAGGAGATTCGCGGATCGGCGCGTGCTCGCTGCGAGAGGGGTTGTTCGACACGGGGTGAGTCGAGAACAACCGGAACGGAGGGGTATACGCCGTGCATAGGCGGAGTCTAACACGGTCACGCGTGCGCCCCTAATCTGATCCACGTCGGCCATCTTTGCCCTTGCTTTCGCGTTTGGCGTGGGTGTCGCTAACCGCGACCACCCGTTTGTCCATCCTTCCTACATTCTACCCTCCCTCTACCTCTCCTTTTTTATCCCTCTCGCACGTTCCATCCTCTTTTTTTCTATCCTCTCCCACCATCGTTCCACACCCTTCCTAGCCACCGATGAGCCACCCCCGTTCGCGTACCGAACCTTGCTCCGCGCAACCTTGTCTCGTCAAAGGCGCCTCGTGTCTTCTACCTACATTCTACGCTACATACATTTCTTCTTCCACGTCGTGCTTTTGTTCGATCACCGCGCGAAATCTCTTGCCCGGCTCTCGCCGTTACCGTTGTTGGATTAGTAGCCGTGTCGTAAACCGGTCGGTCCCCGCTCGTCCTTCGATTTAACACCGCCGCTCGTCGTTTGCTTTTGATGCCATCAGCGAATCGCAACTCCAACACCGATACCTTCGTAATTTTCACCACCCGCGTACATACTTCTGGATATCGGTTTCGTACGACACACACGCACACATCCTCGCTCCCACCCCCTCGCGTTGGACGATGAGTTTCAAAAAGGGTTTCCGCGCGGTGTCCCATCTCGTTGAAACGGCTGTTGGTAACTTTGCCGAAAGATAAGTTTTAGAATTAATCTTGAATTTTTTAGAGTTTAGGGATAGTCGAAACTTGTTCTGGTAAGTTGTCTTGTTTATCTTGAATCCCCCGATGATGTTAGCGCACCAGAGCAAAAGTCCTTGCAACGTCAACTCGTGAAACGACACAAATCGAAGTAAGACGTCATCGCAATCGGCGCCATTTTTTCAAAGAACGGGCGTACACAGATACATATTTCTACCGAAATTGGTTATGTTTTCACCTTCGTACAGTTTCGTTTTAAAAGAGCCCGTCCATTATTTACGGAAATAATCGATCCGCCCGTGTCACAGTTCAATTGTGGTTAACCAACGTCGATTCGAATAATCACTATTTAAAATAGTCTTTTAGTCGTATGCAAATATTTTTTAAATACTTCAACATCCGCTGTAATAATACATTTTTCTCGAATGGTCAGCTGTTACCGCGATCGAATTTGGAGATTTTCTAAAACGCTAGTACCTATCGGATCGCTATATTATTGACAAGGATTAATGATCGAATGTACGTTTGAAATCCTGAACCAATCGAGAGTATTTTAACGATTGACTACACCGCTACTCGATCGGTTGTGCCTTCGTAGTAAGTGCAGATTTGTGTGAGCTATTTCATAATGAATTTTTAAGGTGTCATGGAGCCTTCGTAACCCAGTTCCCCTCTGTTACTCCCGCAAAGCTCCGGGACTTTCGTCGATCCAATAAACGAATAAAGCCGTTTCACGTTATTCTTGATTCTCGTATTCTAATCCAATTGACCAACGCACAAGTTGATTTTTTCATTGGCCTGTAAACGATCAAACTTTTCAAACGCAACAAATATTCACCGAAACGTGAATGGTGTAACGCGCTTACCTTTATAAATACGTTATTCCTGTTCTCATTTTGCTTATCCGCACTGCAAATGGGAAATGGGGTAGCTGCTATCGATCACTGCAAGCAGTGCATCCATAGAGTATAGGTAGGGATAACCGTATTTATCGGTCGAAGCGAACACGGACAATCGTTCGTTTCAGGGAAAAGGAAGAAACCGGCGCGGCCCGGCCCGGCCCGGCCCGGCGCGGCGCGGCGCGGCGGCCCTTGGCGTTCGGCAGTAGGAAAGCCGAAGGTGATGTGGTTGCGCTAGACGGGTCAACCGAAAGAAGACGAAAGGACAAAGTAGCGGTACACGAGATAGAACGTGTACGATGGAAGAGGAAGCAGTGGGCAGCGAGAGGCGCGAGGCGAGGGCCAGCGAGTTTGGCGGCAGTCGTTTTCCAAGGGATGTTGGCCGGAAGGTTCCCGCGGGGCCTGTGTTATCGCCTCGGCAGGATGACCAGCTCGTGGTATCAAATATTAAACCTACTTGCACCGGCAGCCTATCCTCGACAAGGTATCTAAACCTTCCCTCCGACCCGATCCCCCAACTTCTCCTCATCCTCGGTCCACGGCCGACTCGTCACCGCTGTCTGCCATCAAAACCTACGCCTAGTAGGTTTACTGCCGCGTTTCGATCTCCTCGCCTCGGGTCTTCGCGATGCAGCTCCAGCTCTGTCCTTGCGCGTCCTTTCGAACGACGGAACGTGGCGATCTTCCTCGACGAGCGAGTCTTCCTTCTTCGACAAAATTGATTCCTCGAGCCCAAGTAAGAATGCTAACGATTCCTGGGACACTCTAGACACGAAAGAACAGGATGCAAATATTCTTTTCGTTCGCTTCTTTCTCCTTAAAGAAACATGAATTTTTCACCGCCGAGATTCGCGGACAAAGTAAATCAACGAATAGAAGAAATCTTACTTTATTCCTGTGTGTACCAGGTAAGAAAAGAAACTGAAATTATAAAACAGATTTTAACGATACGAGTAGCTAACCTAGCTGGAAAATATGGTGCGTTTCCAGCGAAAGGGAATAAGTTGGGACTCGAACGTACATACGTACATACATACGATATACGTATAATCAGGCCAGCTGCTGGCTGCGAGCTGCAGTTGGTAACTTCGATTCAAGGCAACAATTACTCTACAGTAGACGACCGGCGCAGTTGTTCAAAAATGGGGTAAATGAGAATAAACCAGAAATTACGTGGCCGTGACATATTATTTTTCTAATTGACGTAATAAGTATGTTTCGTTGATGTAATGCAACAACGGTTGCGGTCTCCAAGATTCTACACGCAACTATTATTTTGCGTAAGGCTGGACGTTTTTAAATTGCATACGAGTAAAAGAAATAGCCGACTATGTACGTAGCGAAAACTTCGATAAAAACAGAAGAAAATGATGGTTAATAAATCGGTACGTAAACACGTTTCGAATTAGTTGAACGAGAAAAAGTAATTTTGTCGAGGTAGATTAGCCGAATATCTCACGGTGCGAGGACTCGTGCGACTGTCATTTTCAGAGTTTCCACGTTCTTCTAAACAGTTTCCCACGCGGAACATTCCCTCGTTCTCGCCTCGCACGATTCCTCATTTATTCAACAGTCGTTGATTCACTTGCTGATGGATAAAAACGTCGAGTAAAGAGTTTTGCGCCATTTTCGCCAACGACATCTTACGTTTGTCGTACAAATCCGACAAAATCTTTAACGTATAACGCGATACAAACTATCTTTTTTACGTGTAGCAGGAGCACGAGTTGGTCGTTCAGGTTTAGACGGTACTGCGTCCCAACGCGTCGCAGTCCAAGGGATATTCCATAGAACAAATGCAACCTACGATGTAATAAGAATGTAAAATATCTTCCAGCTATTCGCAACACCGTGACCTTTCGGAGAAACTCGATTTCCGTGTTCGCGAAAGCTGATAAATATTTCGCGAACACCGCCGATTTTCGAGTATCGAGATCCGCGGAACTGGGCTGCCAGTAATTGGTTTGCAAGACATCGTGAACCGACATCTTGGCTGCTCGCGTAGGTATAATCATTCGATCGTCGTTGAAAATCTATGAAAACCCAGGGCCAAGTTCCATTCCCGATATCGTGCAATATTAATAAACCATACAAATCACCGTAGCTCAATTCCAGGGTTAAATCCACGAGCATAGGCCATAGATTACAGCAATTGGTGCCGGAAGGTAGAAGCAGAGGAGCAAAGACGAAGGAGGAGGTAAGACTTGGCCGGCAGCGGGACGGAGGGTGGTCGGTGGAAGTAAGAAGAAAGAGTCTAGCTGGCTCGAAACACGAAAAGAATCCACGGGAGAAAATGGGCAGATCGTGGGGCGGTTGGAACACGCCGAGAGGAAACGTAGGACCACGTTTCACCATACAATACATAGACGTAGCGGGCGCGGGTGCGATCGCGTGTGCGCGGCCACTCATACATCCTCGACCCCCGTACCACGCGAAACCTCTCGCTTTCACATGTACGATCACGCAGACAGCGATACGGTCACACCGACGCATAGATTGCATACTTATGCCGGCACTGTGCACATAAAGTTAGGGCGGCGCGCGCTCTCCTTCGCTGCCGCACAAGAATAAGAAACACGGTAGCATACATAAACAAGGAGGTTGGGGATGCAGCAATTTAAAACGTACCCCGGAATTCCTCCCAACGGAGTCGTAGAGCGGCCCTCTATATTACGAATTCCTCCCTTCCTCCCTACCTCACCGCCACCCGTTCCTCCGCCACCGTTGCTTCTTCCTTCTGTTAGTGTCCTCTTGCATCTTACTGGGAATTTCGGCTGTATAAAGCGAGACCACGAACGCGACGAACCGTGTACCAGCGACCAAACTCAACGGAAATCAAACTACCTGCCCGGAAACTACGCTTCGATGATATTCGATCTCTAGCTAGGGGACCGACCAATCTCGAGGTGCCGCATGCCGATAAGATGACGAGCGTACGCCACCCGCGAACCCGAATCGACACTCGCGGTTTCCTCCTACCATTCCCAAACGGTCTATTCTTTTCTCAACGTTCTCGATTAATCGATTTCTTTTATATCGTATGTAAGTAGTCTGTCTTCGAGTATCCGTCGGCCAGGCTACTTGAATCAAGCTAGACAAGTTATTCTACCAAGGTGGACATTCGATTAATACCTATCTAATTAATACCTATTATGCAGATCAGCTCGACCAACGCGCGGCAAAGTCAAATAACGTTAACAATGGAG